ATCTTAGGAAATAGAATTCAGTGCACATGGATTTGGTGGCGATGTTGACCCTCTCATGGTTTAAGCATCGTCCATATCTTTCTTTCCTTTTTTTTTTTTGAAGATTTATTTATTTATGCATACAAGAACTGGGGTATAGGCCAAAGGTGTAGGGGATGAAAGGATTCACCAGAGACAGAGTGGGGAACAAAATAGGCAGATTGACCAAAGTACACTGCTGAGGAGAGCAGTGGGCGAGTCAGGAGAGGTCTGCTGGGCCATGTATGTTGCTCCCTGGCTGCCCAGGGATTGAACTCGTGCTGCAATGGCTGTGGATAGCTTCATAGGTTGCATCTTAACCCCTTGTGCCACCAGGGAGGCCCTCTTTCTTTTTATGTGTGTTCTATGGAGTAAAAATACTGTAATACTGCAATGCTGTAAAAAGTAGCAAAGAAAGAAACATATTGAATTAATTCCACACCTAGAAAGAGGTTATTCTAGAACAGAGGCTCACTTTGAGGGGCTCCACATGAGACAGTCTCACATGTATCCAACTGTACTAACATAGAGACAATCAAAGGAGGGAGATAATATTCCTAAAATGTGATAGATGACCAAAATAATATTTATTCCCAGAATCCTGAAGATGGGAAGACCTAAAATAAAACCAAAACTTCCTCCACCCTCTTTTTTAAAGAAGTAGCAAGATACTATAGAATATGCTACATATTAAGCAACAGTTCCTTTCAGTTCCTTTAAGCAAGGGAACTGGAAAGTGTGACCCATTCACACGAAAGAAACAAACAGGCAGTGGCAACTGCCGTGGAAAGGGCCCTGATTAGATTTAACAAAGACTTCAGAGCTATCATTATAAACATGTACAAAGTACTATACAAAATCATGCTTAAAGAAGTAAAAAAAGAAAGATTATGATCATGCTTCATGAAATGATAATAATAAAGAGATTGAAATCATCAAAAAGAACTAAATTAAAATTCTGGGGTTAAAAATCATAGTAACTGATACGAAAGATTGGCTAGAGGGGTCCTGTACATGTGAACTCTCAGAAGGGAGACTCAGTAAATTGAAGATAGATCAATAGATTATTGATCTATTCAGTTCAAAGAACAGAAAAAAAATAAACAGAATATCAGCAAAATATAGGCCACAATTAAATACCTCAATATATACTTACTGGAAGTAACAGGAGAGGGGAGAGAGAATGTTGCAAAAAAAAAAAGTTATACATCCAAGAAGATTAATCATCTTGGGAGATACAAAGAGATCCATACACAAGCACAATAATAAAAATGCTGAAAAGAAATGACAAAGGGAAATTCTTGAAAGTGGCAATAGAGAATGACTTGTCACAAGGAAACCAGTGAAGATTAACAGCTGACTACTCATTATACAAAAAAGAGGCCAGGAGGCATTGCCATAGTGTATTCAAAGTACTCAAAGACACAGACAACCAAGAATATTATATCTGGTAAAATTATTTTTTAAAAATGAAGGTGAAATAAAGACACTCCCAGATAAGCAAAAGCAGAATTCATTGCTTGGTGAGCTGCACTTCAAAAATGCTAAAGTAGATCTGCAGGCTGAAAGAATAAACCCCCAACAGTAGTTCAAATTCACACACATAAACAAAGAGTTCCATTAGAAACAAAGAGTTTCTAAAGAAAATGTAATAAAATGGAAAGACATCCCATGTTTATGGATCAGAATATTTAATATTCGAAGATGACAAATATTCCTGAGATTTAACACATTTCTAACAAAATTGTATCTGGATTCTTTGCGGAGTTAATAAGATGACCTTAAAATCATTTGGAAACTCAAAGGACCCAGAAGAACCTAATTTGGGTAAGAAGAACAAATTAGGGAACTTGCACTCCTGATTTAGAGTTTTACTGAAAATAAATAAATAAATAAACAAACAAACAAATAAATAAATAAATAAAGCTTTACTGCAAAGATAGTCATCAAGTCAGAGTAGTAGTAGGATAAGGATAGATCTAGGATACGCTCCAGCATTCTACTCTTAGATATCACCCAAGAAAAAGAAAAGTGTATTTCCATACAAAGACACATAAACAATTCATTGAAGCTTTATTTTTGCTAAACAAAGACTGGAAGCTACCCAAATATCCATTAACAGATAGATGGATTAAAAAAATAGGGAATATCAAAACAATGAAAAATTAATGAGCAAAGAAAGAATTAACTATGGGTACATTCAACAACATGGATACATTTCAAAACAGTTATTCTGAGTAGAAGAAACCAGAAAAGAAAAAACAGAGTGTAACTGTAAGATTCCATTTATATAAAACTCAAAAAATGCAAACCCTTGATTATGCCAGAGAGCAGATCAGTGGTTGCCTGGGGAAGAGGTGGAAGAAGGGAAAAGTAGGGATTGTCAAGGGGCCTGTGGAAATTTTTCGGGGTAATGGATATGGCCACCAGTTGATGGTGCATTACTATGATCTTTAGCCTCAATTCGGAACACAGTTGCATACTGGTCAATTTACATTTAATTTTGTGTGTCCATCTTGCTCTTAAGAAGAATGTTCCTGCCACCTCCTATACCTAAAACTCTGTAACTTTCTATTTCCTTCCCAAAGAAGAAAGAATCTGTCATCATGTTACTTAGTGAATTAATGGATATAGAGACTAAAACCTGGGCGTTGACATCGTAATAGACAACCAGATATGTATAGTGCCTCCTGATAGAAGTACAGAGTTCTAGAAAATTCCACTTCTGGAGTGACATGTGAGAAGCTGTGCTAAACATGGTTGGAAAAGGTTATTTTCAAAAATTACATTTCTGGAAATTTTCCTAAGGGTATAGAGCAAATGAGGAACATTAATTCAAGAAAACCTACTAAAACTCAGCAAGAACAGCAGATTCTGTGGCATTTGAACGATGACCAACTCCCTTCCTTCCCATGCCCAATCCAGCTTGATGAAAAATCTACTCTGGGTAGGTACAGACGAGAACATAAGGTTCTCTGTACCCTAGATGCCAGGAGAGGACTAGAGAATCTTCCCAGAATGGGTAGTGTGTCAGCATTTTTATTACACGCTCTAGCTCCATGCTTCAGAGATTAAATTCTGGTCAAGTACAGTTATAGGTCAGGGACTTTCTTTTTATATCCTGTACCTACTCATGGAGAAATGACTCTATTTCAGGTATAGCATGCTAAAAATAATGGGGTCCTAATTGCTCATTTGTAGACTAGAGGTTATCACCCATTACCTGGCTCTGAAAACAATTGTTACTGACAGCCAATTGTGCCTCTGTCCCCATTCCTACCTCTGGCACCTTGGCACTGATATTTTGTTGGAGAAGAGGGGAGAGAGGCAGTCCTCCTTAAAACAGACTGCTCTAAGGCTCTTTCTATTAGAAATAGAATATAGGGAAGTTCAAGTCTAACAGTCAATCTTAGAAACAAAATAGGCTTGAAGGAAAACAATTAGGAGGAGACTGGTATATTTCAATTACAGGACAGTTAATTTACTACAGAGAGTCAAAACAACAGCAAAGAATAGCCCTTGTAAGATTAGAAAAAAGAAAACTCAAACACTGACCCTTAAAACCAAAAACTATCGCTATAAAGGAGGCCAAGTTTAATTGGATTAGTCTGTGAAGCAATTTACGCTCCATAGCTTTGATGAAAATAATGCAGCAGTACCCAGAGTTGCTGTGACATTTTACATCTTTACTAAGATGGTCGGTTTCCAACAAAACAATGCAGTGTGCAATGAAACAGGAAAATGTGACCCACGCACAGGGGGAAAAGCAAGCAATGGAAACTGCTTACAAGAAAAGACCACACAATGCATTTTAACAGACAATGCATTTAACAGACAATACTTCAGAGTAGCCAATATAAACAAGTTCAAAGAAATAAAGGAAAACATGCTTAATTAACTAAAGGAAGCATGATGACAATGTCTCACCAAGTAGAGAACATCAGTAATATTCTCTATTTGATAACAATAATAAACAATAGTATCACTAATATCAACAACCCCACTCCTTTATGTTATTATTTTCAGACACATTATAGTTCTTTTACATTATGATCTATCAACACAGATCTATATTTATTGTTTTATGCAGTTGTTTAAATCAGCGAAAATTGTTAATAGACATTTATCTTTACATTTTAACTTAAGTTTTTATTTCTGGGTATGGATTTGAATTGCTTTCTAGTGTCCTTTCATTTCAGTCTGAGGAACTTGCCTGGTTTATTTTCTAAAATTCTATCTTTTTTATTATACATTTCAGATGACCTTGTTTTACAACACTGTGTAGGATTTAGGGGTATAGGTTGACATTTCTTCAGATATATGCTAACACACCACACCCCGCCTCCAAAGAATCAACCATCCTCCATCCTAGTCTACTGGACCTCCTCCCCCCTTTACCCTCACCCTCCCTTTTTTTAAAAATAAATTTTATTTTCATATTCCCCATACAATTGCAACCCCGTTATTTTGACCCCAATTCCTCCCCTCCCCGCACCCCACCACCCATAGAGTGTCTCTGGTTCATAGTTGTTTGTTGATTTTGATTTTCACTTTCTTATAGTTATTCATTTTCCTGGTCCCTTATTTAAGTTTTCTAGATTCCTGCTATGAGTGAGACCATCCGGTATTTTTCTTTTTCTTTCTGGCTTATTTCGCTGAGCATGATCCCTTCCAGCGCCATCCATGTTGCTGCAAATCGCATGTGTTTATCTTTTTTGAATGCTGAGTAATATTCCATGGTGTATATGTACCACATCTTCTTGATCCAGTCATCTATTTTTGGGCATTTGGGTTGTTTCCAAAGCTTAGCTATTGTAGCACCCTCCCTTTTTGATAACCTCAATTCTGCAATAAGATTTCCCAGGTTTATGTTGGCTAGTGTTCACCGTCCTTTGTTGTGTTTCTTTACATCCCACATATGAGTGAAAGCATCCAGTATTTATCTTTTCTCCTCTGACTTATTTTGCTTACCATAACCTCCTAACACTATAGAACACTCTACAGAATTTGTGTGCCACCTTTGTGCAGGGGCCATGCTAATTTTCTCTGTATTGTTCTAATTTTAGTTTATGTGCTGCCAAAGTGAATAGGGGATTTCCTTTCCTTTCTTTTAGGATCTGTCTGCTAGTAGTGAGTTCTCTCAGTTTTCGCTTATTTGGTAATATTTTAATTTCTCATTTATTTATAACAATTTTTTTAAGTTATGTTTATTGAGGTAATGTTGACTTACAAAATTATGTTTCAGGGTATATTATAGTTCACAGCTCTGCAAATGTATGTTCTTCATACTGTGTCAACCATCAAAGCACCAAAAATCACCCTTCGCCTCCTCTTCTGGTGACTCGATACTGCTATCAAATTTTAAGACTTTCTTTTGCTTTGCTTTTTTTTTTTTTTTGGTGTTCCATATATGAGTGAAATCTTCTGGTGTTTGTCTTTCTCCTTCTTACTTATTTTGCTTAGTACAATTCCCTCTAGTTCCATCCCAGTTGCTGCAAACTTGGATGGCTTTTTTTATAGCTGAGCAGTATTCCATTGTGTGTATATACTGCAGCGTCTTCATCCACTCATCTGTTGCTGTGCATTTAGGTTGTTTTCATAGCTTGGCTATTGTTAACAGTGAAATGAACATAGGAGTGTCTATATCCCTTTGATTTAGTGTTTTTGTATTATTTGGGTAGATACCTAGGATTGGTATTGTTGGATCAATTGATAGCTCTGCTTTTAATATTTTGAGAAAGCTCTAAACTGCTTTCCATTGAGGCTGGACTAGTCTACATTTTCACCAACAGTATATAAGGCTTCCTTTTTCTTCACATCCTCTCTAGTTCTTGTTTCTGGTCTTATTGATATAGGTCAGTCTCACAAGGGTGAGGCAGTATTTCATTATGGTTTTAATTTGCATTTCCCTGTAATGGTGAGCATTTTTGTACCTGTTGGCAATCTATGCCTTCTTTGGATAAGTAAAAGTTGGGAATGCTACTCCACCAGCCCATTTCTAGTACATTTTCTTCTATCATGTTGTGGTGCTTAGGAAATGCAGAGCACTTACTTACTACCAAACTTGGCTACCAACTCTCTTGACAATTTCACTTCTAAAGTGGAATTGGGGTCCCATTCTTTGCTATACTGAATTGATCACACAAAGGTTATATGTTTAACCTTTCAAGATGACCTTGAATTACACAGCAGTTAAGTGACAAATGTTATTGGAAGTTCAATGCTTATTCATTGTTTGTGCTAAATGAGTAAATTGTTGAAACTGGACTTATGTCTAGTTTAAATGTTCATGAATTTAAATTTGTTTCTTAAAAAAACTATTGATTTAAAAAGGCAATTTGATTATATCTCTCATGGGTATAAAATGTATTGTGTGAACACTTTTGAGAATGAAAGGGGACCGTATTAATAATCTTGCTGGAAAAAAAGGTACAAACTGGGACTCTCCTAGGTAAGCCGGGTACAATGGTCACCCAATTTAGAGAATATAAAAATGTTTTTGCCTTTCCACAAGTTTGATTTCTTGGCTTTAATTTTTTTATTTGGGCTAAATTTCTGTCAATATTTCTTATATTTATCTGAAGAAAAAAGTGTTTTGTTAATAAGTTACTTTTCAAGAGAGAAATAAAATCAAATATTAAAGTTTAAAAATAATTTTATATTTGCTTTTTTATTGCAGATATTGCCTGCATTTTATTTTTTGTGATGTAAAGAGGCTCAGAGCTAATTCTAAATATTACAGAATTCTTGTTTAATGTCCATTTCTAACAGATTAATACCTTCTCTTTTTAAATTTTTATATTTATTTATATATATTTTACATCATTGTTCCTTTTTTTTTTACAGTATTTGCTTTCATTTCTCAGATGTAGTCCCCATAGAATTTCCATCATCAATTCACCTGTGCACCATCACCACAGTCCCTTGTGCTCTTCTCACCCTCGTTTTGATCCCTCTCCCTATCCCTCCCCTGCAGAATGTCTCTGATTTATAGTTGTCTGTTTATTTTTGTTTTGTTATTTTTTCATTGTTCTTATTTTTTCCCCCTGATCCCTTATTTGGTTCCGTTATATTCCTTCTATACGTGAAATCATCTGATATTTTTCTTTTTCCTTCTGACTTATTTAATTGAGCATAAATACCTTCTCTTTTTAAAGCAATTTATAAGTGCTTGCTTTTATACCTGAGGACTGAGAAGGCTGAGGAATGTGTATCTAATTTACTGAATTCAAATAGTTTTCATTAAGAATTTGAAAGGCAGTGCACCTCACTGCACATTTTTAACCTAACATCGCCAGTTTTTCATTACAATTTTACACAGTTGCAAAAAATGTAATTTTTGGCATATTTTAAAGACTTACATTTTAAAATAAACCTTTACTTTGCTCCTTTTAAAATTTAAAAAACTAGTTTTCATTCAATAATACTCATTATTATTCATTAAAATATATATTCATTAAAATAGTTTTCATTCAACAATATTCATTCAAGCCATGATGTGATGTTCATATTTAGTCCAGTATGAACTCTTGCTCAAGCAAAAACATTAAGGTTTAAAGTCATATTGAAGTGAAACATTTCTTTCAGAATTTCTGACCATTTTATTTTTTCTATGGAAAAACAATACTTTGGTAGAGGAGATATTTGGCTAGAATCTACAAATATACAATTGTATATTATTGTATATTATGCCAGAACAGGTCTGCAAGGCTGTTACCTGTCTTTTCAAACTATGATTTTAATTTTTGGTTTGTTTTTGGCCTGAATGTTCGGTTTCCTGAATGTGTCCCAGGAGGCTCGCGCTCACTCTGGTGGGGCAAAGGGCCAGAGCAATTCACGCGGTCGCGGCTCCTCCCTGGAACCCTTTTCCCGGGGCATGTGTCAGGGTCTCAGTACATGTGCGGGCAAAATGCCATCATTCAATTAAGTTCAGACGTTCAAACAGTCCTTGCCGGCCATTCGGTCGCAAGCGAGAGAGCGATCTGGCAGGAACCAGAAGCGCGAGCACCCCAGAGGTGCTCAGCCGGCTCCGCGTCGGGGCGGGAGGGGGCGGGGCGTCGGGGCGGGAGGGGGCGGGGCGTGGGGAAGCGAGCGGGCGCGCATGCGCAGCCCGGGGGCGGCCCCGGGGCGGGGCTGTGCGCGCCTCTGAAGCGGCGGCGGCTGGTCAGCGGCGGGGTAATCTGTGCGCGGCCTCTGGAGCTGCAGCGACTGCCGGGGCGGGGCTCGAGTCGCGGCTCAGGTGGCAGGTGTGCGACCCAGGTGGACGCCGCGGGCCGGGGCAGTAGGACTGGCTTCTGGAGCCGGGCCCCAGCCCGCGAAGTCTGGACCAGGCGGCGGCGCTGCTGCTGAGGGGCTCGGGCGCCGGGCCCGGCGAGCCCGAGGACGGCGGCACCGCAGGGCGCGGGCGCCGCGAGCCGGGGCGCGCCAGGTAGGTGGGCCGGGCCGGGGTCTGCGCTGGGGCTGCGTGGAGCCGGGGGCCGGGATGCGCCCGGAGCGGGGCGGGGCGCGCATCCGAGTACCCGGGGAGCGGGACCGCGACGGCGCCCGCGGTTGTCATGGAAATCGTGGAACCGAGCGCTGCGCCCGCGGCTGCGTCTTTGGAGAACAATCCGGCCCCGGCTGGCCCTTAACAAGATGAAGATCCGGGTTGTCCCTGGCTGGGGGCGAGGGCGGAGATGGAGCGGGCGGCGGGGAGCCGGGATGCAGGACGCGGCGCCCTCGAGACCAGGTCGAGGCGCCTGCTCGGTGCGTCTCTAGGGCGCGATCTAGTGACTACTGACGCCGAAGGCCTTGCTGTTTCGGGTGTAAACATCACCGGGTAAAAATAAACATCTCAATGTAGGAAATCTGGTCTCCATCCTCTCAATTCTTCCCTGCTCTGTTGACCTCTCTTCCCTGGCAACATTTGTCGCATCTTTGCTATTTATATTTTATTTCTTTCTGGCTTTGCTGGTCAATTAATTGAGGCCTGAGAAGATTTAAGGATCTGTGCCCGTCTGTTGAAAAGCCAGTCATAACATGGAGGCCACAGAAGACTGAAACACTCAAATGTCAAGGTAGATTTAAGTCTTTATGGATGAAGTAAACCGTGATGGCCTCGCCTTCCGTCTCCCTTGTCACCTGCCCAGGCATTACATAATGATGTGTTCCTCTTGATGCCGAGTTCATCCATAATGACAGATCATGAAAATATTCCTCTGGGTATGAACAAATATGCAGTCGTAAAACCCATAGTGTTGTCTTTTGCTTTGCCACTGAATGTGTTTTGTATTAGGAAACTGAGAGTAGTTTGATTTGCCACTTGCCTCTTAGGGCATATAAACCTGGGAATAAGGGGTGTGGCAGCAACTTGAATGTTGCAGTGAAATTCTGCCTGATTCACCTCCATTTACAGTGTGTTTAATGCAGTTCATGGATTAGTCAGGGGGCTTGGGGACAGACAGGCAGACCTGGGTGTGAATGCTCAATCTGCCACTTGATAAGCCTGATTCTCAATTTTCCCACCCCTACTTTGCTGAATTTGTTTTATAATCTAGATGCTGTTGACATTGGTAAATGCATGTAGCATAGCTATAGGTTGGCCTATTTAAGACAGGTTTTCCTGATGGAAGTTTTGCCTTTGGATCTAGGCTAGGGCCTTTATATTTAAGATCCTCCACCCGCAAATGTTTGCTCCACCTGAAGTTAATTCGTTTCTTTGTAAAGAGATGAATGATGGTCCCCACGAGGCAAGGTCAGTGTGGTGGTTCTGTTGGAGGGCTCGTGGAAGAAGGCCTTGATGCCGCTCCAGGGATGGTGTTGCATATGAACAGAAGCACCAGAAGGCCTCATTCCTTGCTGTGTCTTATGAACATGCTTCCCTAGAAATAAGCCAAAGTTCCTGGGAGGATTTTCCCTGAAGAGATGGCTTCAGTGAATGGATGCTGAACAGACTCAAAGAGAAAGGAGGACTGTATTTCTACTGAGCTCAATGATAGGATTAGTTATACTGATTCTAGTAGTTACTTATGTTAGTAATTTTCATTTGGCTTGTGCCAAATGTTTGTGTGCTCATGTATAGGACCTGTCTCCCAACTGCACTTGAAG